AATTGTAACTGAACCGTAGGAAATTAAAATGTTTATCAGCATATTAGTCAATTGTAGATTGATTTGGGAAAACAGATTATACTATGAATATTTTCTCAGATTCTTCTCTTCATGTATACTGCAGCAAATTTACAAAGACAATAATCTATGATTTATCTACTCACAGTTAAGAAGTATAAAAAACATTTTCTGTTGAAGGGGTTCGAGCAAACAGCATCTGTGCCTTAAAAGGTTCATCGGTGGATCTACACTGCTCAGCTAAACGTCCCAAATCAACATTGAAATGGTTCACTGTTCACRMGGAGGACWKCYAGAAGGTTTTAAWTCAGATCTTTGCAGACGGAAAACATGTGAACATATCTGAAGAGAGCAACTTCACTCTGACGATCAACGATCTGAGAGAGAGTGATAAAAACAGTTACTGTTGTAGTGACAAAGAAAGTGAATGCCAGGGGYGAGWAATTCAGCTCCTTGTTGCAGGTACAGTGTTTCACATTTATCTATTATTAATTTATTACTGCAAATAAACATCAGTGCATTAATTCTTGTTTGATTCACCATCATCTCAGACCTGCAGGTCAAGGTGCTTCCTGCCAGAGGAGAAAAGACAGTGTCACTGATGTGCAGCAGCAGTTGTCCTCTGACTGAAAGCCCTGCAAACTATATCTGGTACAAGAACAGAGAGTTTCTCTATCASGACTGGTCTCCTTGGTACCAGGAGCTAATCAGCAGCYAGGAAGCAGACACATACTCATGTGCTCTCAAAGGCTACGAGCATCTCAGAGCCCCTGAAGTCTCCGTGGGTGAGTGACAACYTGTGGCTCCGTATCCTGGTGCCTTGAATTGTAAAGCTTGTGACAACRTGTTCACCACAGAYTGTCTTTTTCTTTTGTCCAGACTCTCTCACATCAGCCTGCTTCACTGTGACCTATGCTACAGGCAGAATGTGCTCATWTCAGCAGAGACCAGAAGATGAGCCGTGCTCCATCACATATCCCAGAGGTTAAGTTCCACAAATAATTACACACAAACACACTCCCAATCCCATACCTCTAATCCCTTTAAAAATGTTTGAACAATTCACAAGATCCACAGTGTTTAACCAGAGATCGTTAGTTACCTAACATGTTGAAGCCTGGTCATTGGGTCCTGGTTAGAAACCATAAGATATAAATTGTGTTTGGGTTAAGGTGAGGCATGAATTGGTCAAGAAAGGAAACGTGTGTGTATGTGTACAAATTAACTAAAGAAAGCATGGATGGATTTTCACTCAACATGGTGAGAACATAACATGGCAGGGTTTATCCAGTTACTATTCGCTCACTCAAGTTATTAGTGCAGTTATTATCATGGCAGAGATGAATTGGTGAGAAGCTGTTGTTTTTTTCCCAACAGAATTACATGTTCAAAAGACTGAAGCAAAGAACCATTTCAAACTGGCCTGTAACACCAGCTGTCCACTGACTGAAGCTCAAACCATCACATGGTACAAAAACAGACYATTGGATGTGGCARCACAGTCCKCAGTTCRCAGCTCCTCTCKMGACATTTACTCCTGTGCTGTAGAGGACTTGCTCTCAGATGAAGTTTGTGAGTATGAGCCTGTTTGTGGTCTGTTATAATTCATCAAAGATTTGAGTCAAGAGCCTGTAAAAGCGAGTAAGATACACTGTTTGATGAATTTATTTAAAATCTCTGTTTCAGGTGTTCAGGATCCAAAGTGCCTCAGAGTGAGTTATGTCAACAGGAGGATCTGTGCTCTGAGAGGTTCCTCAGTGAACATCTCCAGTGAATACTCGAATCCTTACAACCAGACGTCAATGTCTAAATTGTGGTTTAAGAAGAGGAGAAGTGATGTGGAGGCTGGTGAGCTGATGAAGAGTACAGATCGTATTAAGTTTAAAGACACAGTGATGAACCACCACATCCTGACAATCAATAAACTGAACAAGAATGACTCAGCAGAATACATATTCAGAACAGAAGGAGATGCAGGGAAATGGTCGGCTCTTCCTGGAGTGACTTTGGTCGTCACAGGTAGGTGCAGTATTTAGTTTAAATACCTGCATATTTTCTATAGAGAGTTACTATCCATATTAATAAGGKAACTWATTCAACAAACTAAMTCCATTTACCCTTTTTGTTTATTTGGGTTGTTTRAGAAGACACAATTTTGTTGTTTCGGAACGTCTTTATCAACTGACCAATCTCATCTTTCAGAGCTGAGAGTGAAGTTTACTCCTTCTGCAGAGGTGACCGAGGGACAGAGAGTCACGCTGACCTGCAGAACCAGTTGTCCTCTGWCGGACAACATGAACTACATTTGGTACTTGAACAATCAAACTGTGAATCAGACWAAAAGACAAAGCAAATACCTGGTTCTAGACCCCGTCAGCAGRGAGCATGCAGGAAACTACTCCTGCAGGGTTAAAATGTTCCAAAGGAGCTCTCATCATAAAATGCTCACTGTCCACAGAAAACAAGGGGCTCAAGCAGCCATAGGAATAGTTGCTATTCTCCTGGTTATAATACCCATCATCGTCTTCTTGTGGATTAGGTGAGCATCACTGTGTTCTGCTTCYGAGCGATGACTTTCACATTCTCTTTCACACTAACCTGGCTTCACCTGTTCATTTCACRCACCAGAAGAAAGAAGACTTCCATCCAGTCTCCTAGAACTGAGACCTCTGACAACTTGGAGCAGGTGAAGGAGAGAATTTTAACAGTTTCTTCCATTAGAAAATCATCCTCCTCTGTTCAGAGAGTTCAYCCGAGTCAAAACAGCRGCTTCAACCATGGTTCAAATGAAACAGAGATGCATTGTCCCATATGTTCCATAGATGTTATATTTTACAATACTGTACATAAATCATGTTTCGTTTTCTCAGTACTATTCYGTTTTTCATTTGAACTCCATTTGGAATCATTTAATTTCATGAAGAGAATCACCAAGAATATCAAACACACAGAAATAGAAAATCTAAATGTTTCTCTGTCTCTTCATCAGATGAGCRCTGGTCKTGTMTACGARGACATCTCAGCTCAACCAACAGAGAYGGAGGACATTCTCTATYGCAGCYTCCAGTTCACCAWCAACACAGATGCTCTCTACTCTGAACTCCAGCCACACCAGCCAACAGAAGAAGAACAGACGCTTTATGCTGTTGTCAACATTAGACCCAAAACAAACCCTGAGTAAACATCTGTTATTACAAGTGTTTCAGACTTTGGGACAAATCAAAATTCAAGGCTACCTAAGACCATATTCATGATTTTATATGTTTGTATTAATAGGCTACTGATCTGATTGTCATGGTATTTACTTAARATGTTACCTACTATGCTGAATGTAATCAAAGAAAGTTATGATGAAATAAGAAAAATATATAAATATAAAATAACATATACTTCCGCTGCAACATGATTGACCAGAAGTCTACAAACTAAGGCATTTTTATTTCTACTTTCAGGTCTACTGGCCTGTCAGTGGAGCTGCGAATATAGTACATCACAAACATGAACACACAAACAATCTCTTTCACGACTACAGCATGAAGACTATAAACACTCAACGAGCATGCTGGGCCAGTGGGTGCATGGCGTCTACGATTAACAATTCACCAAATACCAGAGTAGAATACTGTGTTCCAGGTAAAATTGGGTAAAAAGTCAATGTGCAGCAGTGATACTAGCAAACTGTGAAGCAAACTGTGACATCATCGTTACCCATATGCTTTGATTTGTAATTACACATGGATTTAAAAAATCTGCACTTTTGGATTTCTGTAAAAATCTCAGTATAACTGAGTCATGGTGCCGTTTGCATGCAGATGACAGGCCCAAATGTTTTGCAAAATATCAGCATTAGCATGGACAGGGTGAAGCTCGTTAATGACAACCCACCTGCCTCCGTGATTTAATATGATATTTGTTCCTTTCATTATCTCTGCGTTGCACTTACTGTACACTGAGGGCCATCAGTTTGCGTTGCAGCTTTCTGTAAATGAGCGGGGAACATCTCAAGCTTCTTGACGCCTCGACAGCACATTTGAGAGCCGTGACAGCCACTGCCTGTTTGAGGAAGTGAAAAAAGGAAGTTTTAGTTTTTTTGTGAATAGTCTGTTAAAACCACAGTACTGACTGGTACTCTGCAACATGCAGAAACAATACACAGAAATACCACAACTTCTGTGAAGTGTTGGGATCCTCAACTCATCTTTAGGTTACAACTAAATGTTTTTGCACTGCTCTTATATCCTGCATGAAAACAAAATATCCAGGTTTCCAACACGCAGTGGAGATTCTAAATCTAACGCTAGCTTAAATTCAAATTTCAATCAGTGCTAATGACAGCATTCAGTTGTACTTCACTGTCATTATCTGCTTCACTTACGTCAGAATCGCTTTCAGTCAGCGAGATATTTTACACACCATCTTTGAAATTTAATAAAATTGTATAAATGTTTGGCGAAGGTTCATGTTTCAGGCCGGAATACCACATCAGAAATCTGATGACTAAAAATGTTAACTTATCTCGCTGGCTAATAATAGTTATAACTTCTTTCTCTAACATTTACTGGTTATATATTAATGTCACTTCGGTAAAAGGTCGATAAGGTTTTTTAAAATAAAACTGTTAATGTCAGAATTTATTTGGGTAACAAGAGATCTCGATTTACAGGAAGCTAACGTACTGTTTATTAATAAAAAGTAAAATACTCACCTCACAGGAAATGACTTGTTGATGTCTGTTTTCAGCGGCCGCTAACTTTAACCATGCTAGCTAACGGTCGCCTCTAAATGTCACCGAAGTCAAACGAAAAGAAAAAACAAAATGGAAGTCCAGTCGTTCTTTTAACGAGTGATTCCTTCTCACACATTTACCAGCTGGATGCGGCTACGCTAGCTAACAAGCTAAATATTTTCTTGCTAAGCTAGAACTGTCGTGAAGTCATGCTAGCAACCCAAATAGGCTAAAACTAGCTACGCTTAACCACATGCTTCTTCAATAATAAACATTTGTTTTAAAGATTTTGCTCTTCTGTTTTAGAATAATTCTTATTTGGGTATCGGCCGTTAAGTTACAGAAAGCTAACGGCTAAAATATCTGACATGAAATGATTTGTCTGTGCTGAAGCTTTATGCTATCGACTGAAGCTAATGAGCTAACATTTAAGTTTTTGTGGTACTAAACTGTCAAGCGGTCTATATTTCTACATGTAATCTGAATTTATACTATATTTTTTATATATATAACATATGTTTATATGTATATCTAATTTAAAAAATTACTTTCTGACCAAATGTTTTAAATATTTTTGTTTTATACGGCACAAAAATTTTAAAAAATGTTTTACAGCACCAGTGTCGATTATTGTTGTTTGAATCCTTTGCATTAAAGTAAACTTCAAATAGACTCTGGATTGTACCTTTAAATGAAGTCAAGTCAGTTTTCTTCTTTAACTCTTTTAATGGCCACAGTGATCAATGAATCAAACATACAGGGGCAGAGAGACGCAGAAAGAATTCAACCGCAAACAACATGTTTTAAAGAAACAAGTCAGTCATGGATGGATCTGTAAATATTAATATAGTTTTATTATCATACCAGTATACACTTCAGTAATTAATCCAGATACAAAAAACAATCATTAATTTGTTGCCTCAAACTGAAGTTGTGCAGGTTGCATTGAGTCGTCTCATTCTTTGTCTTTCCACTCAGTTGATAATTCAAGTCTAGTCTCCAGACCCAAAATAATAGTTAAATATTAAAAAAGGTAGCTGTGAAGTTAGATATCCTGTTCGAAGTCAGTATAAATAAATCATAAAGCCATGAAAAAGAATTGTGGACATAGGAAACGGTTTAAATTTGGGTCCAAGGCAGCACTTTTTAATATCGCCCCCAGATCATCCAAGTGCTTCATTATAAAGCAGATTTCTTATTTGTTCTATAATATCACCTCATGGAGAATGTGAAGGTAGAATGTGCCAAGGAGCGTTGGAGTTTAAACACAACCAGTGAGAAATGAATTAGAACCTGTTCACACTCTATTTGACGCCAACCACTGAGAAGAGCCACAATTAGCTCACATGCGCTACATCTTGTCTGATTTGGTTGAGAGACCACTTCCTCATGGGTTTAGTCTGTATTCACATACTCAGGAAGGTAAACTCTGCACTCTGTCCTTCACCGCTTCCGGTACAAACAGAAAACTTGATAAAACACGATAATGATAAGGTCAGTGATAAGGTCACATGATGCTACATAACCTGCCGTTCAGTACGCAATGTGAAGTCAGTTGTTTCCTCAATTTCAGTAGATTTCAGTGTTTGTATCACACCAGTGGCTTTGTGCCCTGACCAGCCACTCTCATCTTTGACTCCACCTCTCCTGATATGCACCATCTCTTCTGCCCTCTCAGTCCGTCTGTCTTCTCAGCCTCCATCTCCTCACGATTTTCTCATGCGGTCACTTATCCAGTAGCAGATTAGCCAGGGATCGGAGGATATCTCTCTTCTCATATAGGTACATCTGAGTTTCCCACAGCATGTCCACCAGGACCGCGTCACTCACCTCATCCAGCATCACCTCCTGTGACAGCTGGGGGCTCAACCTGCACAAATGAACACATTGTAAAGAGTTTTAAGATACTTTCAGGCTCAGAGACATTAATATGAAACTGCAAATGAGCCAAACATAGAGTTATGGATAGCTCTGCATACTGTTAATGTCTGTATAAACGGCCATACAGTATATAATGTAATTAAATGTAACTCATAGTAGAAAAGAGGATTTCTGAATCCCATCTGCTTGTTCTGAGTATGACCTTTTTCAGGTTAAGAGAATCAGAAAATGCTGTTTAAAAGAGTCTCTTATTCAGCCTATTGTCTTATCCAGATGTCAGAGTATTGGTGTCCATGTTAACCTATAATGGACGAGGGCAGAGAGCAGAGTTAGTGGTAAATAAGAACCAAAGCAAGTTCATTGTCAGCAAACCTGTGATAGATGGTGTCGATCATCTCACACCAGGCTCTGGCTCTGTCCACTGCACAGCCATCAGAGTCTGTGCACTGTTCAGTCAGAGAGGAAGACAATTAGGCTACAGCATATGAAAAACACAACTCTCACTCATGGGGCAGATTCATTTTATGGTTAAGAGTCCAACAACAAAACAAAGAGATGGAAGCAGCTGCCGTAGCTCAACTCACACAGTCCACCAGCATCTTGCCCAGCTCCTTGGCTCCTACAATGCTCTTGGCCAGCTCCAGAGGATTGGAGGGTCGAAAAACATCCACAGAGCTCACCACCACCTGGGGGGGTTTACCTACAGACGCATGTTTATAACGTGGTGCGTTAGGCCTTGATCTAAATTTATCATTGCTGTGCTGTGAAGATGTTCCTGGCAGAACAGAGCTGTTTCTGCATGTTAACAGTGAAGGATTTAAGACAACATGCTGGAGTTCAGGAATAAAAGGTGTCCAGCCATGTCAGCTTTCCCTGTTACACAGACACTGATCAGGTTCTGCTACGGAAATAAAGAACAACAACGATGCCTACCCTCCTTTCCAACTTCGTACCTTTTAAATAGAATGGTCAGGGGGAATAAGGCCTATGGTATGAGATAGACATGCCATTCACACTCCTGCCAGCACCAAGTGGTTGTGGACACTTTCAGTTTGAGAAAGTGATCTTGACTTTTGAATTAAGACATATATTATTAGTTGTGATCAGACACAATGAAGTGGCCTACCTGTCCCCAGGGAGACGACGATACCCAACTTCTTGATTTCCTCCCTGTGGCCCTGAGAGGCAGGAGTGTTAAGATGAGTTAGAAAGTGACAGAACAGATAGAAAGAATGATATAATGACAAATGAATACTCAACAAATCCATGTAGGTTAACGATTGAATGTGCAATTAATGGAAGAAAGAGGGAGAAATAAAAATATTACGCTGCTCTTTTCCTACCTCTGCTTTGAAGGATTTGTTGTACTGATGGATTTCGGACATGGCGTCCAGTGTCGGGTTATTGGCCAGCAGCCCTCCATCCAGAAAGCGGCCCATTGGTCGGAAGTAGGTGGGAGCAGCCCCGCTGGAGCGGGCAGCTCGCCACACGAGTTGTTCTGATGTGAAGACAAGAATTTGAGAATAAGCCGAAACTGCAGTTTTCAGACTCCAAATTTCAGACAAAGATGGTTAATGACTAATCTAAACTGCACAACAGCAAAAAAACACATTCATCCATGGGGCGGCTGTACTTTTAAACGTCTTAATTTACGAGGTTATAAAACTTTGACAGAATTAAAATCTTTGTGAAGCTGTTCCTTGCTTGTCGTCTCTCATTCACACCCACACACCTTCATCTGTCACCTTCCTATGTTTTCTGCGGGGCTCCTCTGTGTATCCTACTATCAACAAATCCTCATCCTCCCATCCTGCAACAACAACACGGCGACAACTGCACTTGTTCTTGGACACAGTGACACACAAACTCACATGGAGGGATTTGCATTCACACACAGCTTTTCATTTCCTGAATTAACTAAACTGAGTCATTGTTTTTACTGTTGAGATTTAAAGTCACTAAAGGTAAGATTTTGACGCCATCCAGTGGTAGTTTTAATGCACTCCATGTGCAGAAGGCCAATGCACACAAAGTGGCAGTTCTGGATTACCTTGTGGGATGGTGATTGGTTTGAATGTGGCAGTGGTGGCGTATGGAGGCTCTCTGTGGAGGGAGGGAGGGTTGTAGTTCCTGAAGATGTGCAGCTCGCCTGGATGTCTGTCTGCCAGGACGCTGGTCACCATCACCCTGTACACAAACAAACGAGTTGAGAGAAACAAGAGAAGAGGAACTGTTAAAGAGTAGGGGGATAAAGTGCAGCTGCAGAAGCAAAATTACATAAATTCACGGCAACTGTTTTTTTACTCTGTTCAGTGGTTTCAGATGTAGAGTTGAATGTTAAGATGAACAAAATGACAAGAAAGTGAAAGCACAATATCTGGATCCCCCTCCTGCTTGGCTGCAGTATTGATCATAAACCCAACCTCCTCCATGTTAGCAGGTGGGACACGGACCAAACTAAAAGGAACGCATTCAATATTATTCTTCCAAAAATGGTGTCTTTCATTTTATGTAGCTCCAAGTAGACTGATGTATGTTCAAATGTTAATTTTTCTGTTCAGTAAGGTTCAGTTATTAGTTATTTGATGCTAGAGAAACATCATGATTGGCAACTGAGACAGTCTCAGGATTGGTCGAGCATGTTTTGGACCCTGATTCCACATCCTCATATCATGATTTCTAGTTTTGGAGCTCTGGCTCAAGATCGCTGATGGCAGCACAAGTTTCAGAGCAGAGACATTTTCTCCCAAGCCTGAAATCAGCTCAAACCTTAAAAGGCGCTGTATTTTCTCAAACTGACCAGTCACAGTAAAAAAAGAAGGCATTTAAATTTCTCCAAGCAGCAGAAACTAAGAACAAACACAGATCACCACAAGAAAGAAACGCAGCCTTCTTTATGGGAGCTAATTGGCTGAACACTGAATCTTTAAGAAACGTTTTTATGAGTATTGGTTTTATTTTTGCATATTTTCCTGTGGTGCTGTATTGGTAGTTTACACAATCATGTAGCTAACATTGGAGCATTTTATTACTTAGCTTGTGAGAGCATTGTGAGCCCATTCAAACAGGAGCTGTTACCTCGGGTATTGGACGTCTGTCATCTTGGTGTTCTCCCCAAACTCTTTTTTCAGGAAGTCCTCCAGCGGTGCGGACTCATAAGGTCGCGACCCCCTAAATACCTGCTCCTTCATCCTAAAGTATAAGCAGCGCAGGTACTCCATGGACTTACCTATGTATAAAAGAACCGCCATTATTGTTTTGATGCAGTTTTATACAAACAATGTGAAGTATAAAGGGAAAAACACAAACCGTGGATTATAGCGAGGGCCAAGATGCCCCCGGTGCTCGTGCCGGCTACCCAGTCAAAGAGCTCTCTGGTGGGTCGACCGGCCTCTTTCTCCAGAGCGATCAACATCTGGATCAACACGAGACCCTTGATACCTCCACCATCCAGACACAGCAGACTGTCTATCCTGCAGCAGAGGACAGGATAACAGAGGACAAAACGACTTCTTTACATCGGAGAGCTTTGTCGTCTACAAATCAGCAACATTAAGATCTCTCTTATTTCTAATCAGAAAAAATAAATAAACAAGGATTTTTCTTTGTCTTAATAAAAACTACAACCTCCACCCTCAACATCTCACAATGATATAGTTAAGTCCAATTCAATGAAACAGAGAAAATACAACCACTTTCATATGTCAATAAAAAGCTGCCTAATTATTACAGCCACTCTCAGTGAACCAGACACAGATGTGACAGCTCTAACCCTGTAAATCCTAATATGGAATTACCATCAGTCTAGCCCCAGATTCCAAATGATAAAAATTCATATAAATTCAAAATGTTTATAGCCTGGTGTTTATTGACACTCACCATTATTTCACTTTCATGGGGAAAATAAAGGCCTGAGATGGGAATAGATTGTTGTAATAAAAAAAAAAGTCTTTTTGTGCTTTTGTCATATAGTTAAAGTGGAGAGAGGAGATGTTGGGGACAGAGAAGGGGAATGGCTTGTTGAAAACAGTCCGGCCAGCAGGGAGTCGAACCTGCTGCTCGAGACATGCATGTCTATTTAGTATGTGCCCTTACAATTCAGTTATCAGGTAACCCCCTAATTTCATTTTTATAAATATTTTTTACAATTTTCCACTAACCGAGGCTTGAGTCCTCCTGCAGTGGCCGCAGGTCAGTTTATGATCCAGCCCTTTGCTGCTTATCTTCCCTTATTCTCTCTCCCCATGCCACACTTACTATCCTGTCAATAAAGCCAAAATGCCTGAAAAAATATCTAAACCAAAAATGACTTAGTATCATATAACAAAAAGTGAAAATTAAAAAAAAATACAAATCCCAGATAAGACTTTTAAATTCAACAAACCGCCTCCTGCTCGACCGAACAAATAAGAGTACTCTCATTTCAGAAAATGATATAAAATGTGTCCAATACTCACTTCTTTTTCACCATTCTGCGTCCGTCCACTTCAGACGGGCCTCTGCTCATCGCACTGATTGTAGCCCCCACATGCATGAGGTCGTCAAACCCTGTCAGCCAATCACAACAGCTATTGGTGGTGATGACAATACAATGGTCCAGTAAGTGATTGGTAAATGATGGAAGACTTAAGGGGGCGTTGGGTTTTCTACAAGCCACACGGGAGGTTTACTATGAAAATCCATTCAGTTAAAAATACTATATTAGATTTGGTATAATAAGTGTTACTTTATTTGTGAGTTAGGCCAATAGGTTTAAGAAGAAATAGTTAAACTATACTTTTACAAGAACTATTATTATTAATATCAGCATCAACATTTGGGAGTAGAGCAGTGCTGCCTACTCACATTCATATTTTGGGTGGCTGCTGACAAATAATAAATAAATAAATAATCTAAATAATATTACACCCTGTGATTGATGTTTTAATATGGCTAAAGTCATTATTTATTTACTCTGACAAGGAGGTCATTTTTTGTCCCGGTCTGATGGTTTATTTATCAGGATGACTCGAAAACGTCTGAGATAGATTCTCACCAATTTCCCAGATAATTTATCGACTGCTGAGCCTTGGCAGAGGTACGTGTACCATCATATTTCTTATTTCCTACAGCAGTTACATTGCATTTTAGAGCTGATTAAGATGCTACACTAAGTTAAACTGGATGAGAACAATCAGCCTAACTGCCAAACTGTAATGAATATAAAAGAGTGATTGAAAATGTAAAAGGGCTTCACAGTAGATTCAGCTCCTCGCTGACTCTAGACATTTAAATTGTAGAAGTGGAGCCGTGAGGTAAATGTGAGGTTCAGTGGTGTTACCTATGGTTTGAGACTTGGCCTTGAAGGAGACGGGGGAAGGGCTGCCAGGGGACGGAGGGTGGCAACGCTGGACCCCTACACTACACAGCATGTCCAGCAGTATCTTTCTATTAGGACCTATCGTGTTAACACACACGCAAGCAAGTCAATGTGTTAAGACATGCACACACCACAAACAACAGAGAGACAGAAGAGAAAGAGAGAGAAAAGAGAGAGAAAAGAGAGAGAGAGAGAGAGAGAGAGAAACATGAGCAGGCTGTTAGCAAGCATCATCAGGCATTTTCAAAAATCAATAACAGCAAATTCTATTCATCACCATTTCTGCTTGAGAGAATCATGGTGGTTTCATACACAATCATATCTATGTGCAAACAACACACAACATGCAATTATCTCAAAATAAACTTATTATGACTACACAGTTAACTACTATTGTTACTGCCGAGAAGGTGAAGACACATATACATTAAACAATTTAGATTTTTTTGCTCTACTGCACAATTAAGGGACCAGCTCAGTTACTTTGCCTTTTCTACAGTTCTCTGTATTTTTATGTCTTTGGACTGTTTCTTGTGCTTTAACATGCGATGTGAATTCTGCATGCGAGAATCATCAGTCATCATGACACTACACGGCAGAAAGATTCTGTACTGCACCTATAAAACGTTTCAAAGAAAACCACATGAGATCAAACACAGGCAGTTAGACGACGCAGAATAAGTTCTACAATTTTATCACACAGGTCACTGTCAAACCTCAGATTTTCTTTCTGTTCCTTATTTTCCTAATTTAGCCCCTGTCCTCTTTCTTTCTCACAGAATCTTTCGTCGATCCCTCTCAGTTCCTCGTCCCTGCCCCCGTCCCTCCTACTTCGTTTACCTTTGCTGGTGCGAGCAGCGATCAGTCCTGGGGTTTCTCCCAGGTCGTTGTGGATCTCCACATCGGCACCGAACACGATCAGAGCTTTGATCAGCTCCATGTGGTCCATCTGCAACCAGAGGAAGTGGATATGCGTCATCCATCTTTTCAATACAGCCTATGGTTTTTACCTGGAAGATAAGACTAGAGATGTATCCTGTCCACCAACCTTCATAGCCAGGTGAAGGGCTGTGTTCCCATCCTGGCCCTTCAGGTTGGCATTTGCCCCGTGGGTGAGCAACACCATGGCCGCCTCAAAGCGCCCCCTCTTGGTCAAAATGTGGAGGGCGCTCTCTCCGGTCTTACTGAGGTAGTTCACTGCACAGCCATGCTCCAGCAGGATACGACACAACTGACACAGAAAAAAAAAACATTAATCTAGTCTGTAAACTCCTTTTAACACATTTCTAATTCGAGTTGGTTCGAGCGACCAGAGAAACACCAGTAACAGATGACCATCACTGGCACAGAGCGGTTTATCACTAGAATGCAAGTGTGTAATTTAACAGATTTCTAACCCTCAAAAATCCATGAAGTATTATTTTATTACCTCGGCAGTTTTGGCCCAGTGCAGCGGCGTCCCTCCGTAAAGAGAGTCTTCAGCCTGGAGCTGGCCTGGGTCGGCTTTTAGGATCTCCTGCACACAGCTGACAGACAAACACACATTGAAAGAGGACTATTTACTATTAAGTATTAAAAACATAACTCATTGTCTCTAGAAAACACTGCACAGAATCCCCTGTATTCACAAAAAAGTTCTTAAAAGCTTTTCATTTCCTTTAAAACAATATCTTGACTTTATTCAATAACCTCAACAGCTTCACTACCCAACATTAGAATAGAATATGATAGAATAGAAAGCCTTCATTGTATTGCACAGAAAATACAGCGGCTCATCATCCTCACCCCTTCTCGCTGTACTTCATGGCACTGTGGATGGGATAACCAGTGCCGCCGACCACATCACACTTGGCTCCGCCGTCCAACAGAGCTTTGACGGCCTCCATGCGTCCCATACGGCAGGCCACGTGGAGCGGCGTTTCCCCGTTGCCGTTCAGCTCGTTCACCCCCGAGCACAGCCGTGAGCACAGGACCTGGATGGACGACAACATGGTTTTGTTGACTTCCATAGCAACCTTTTGTTACACACTGCTGATATCATGATGCACTCATTGACCATCCTTTAGAACATGAGGGGGGGGGGGGAAGTACTTCTGATTCTGAAACTTCACTCCTGCTCACCTGGATGACAGCAGGAGAATCCTGCTTGGCGGCAAAGTGCATGGGCGTCTCTCCGCTGCGGTCTCTGATGTCAGTACGGGCTTGGCTTTCCTCCAACAGCTCCTTCACGCACACCAAGTCTCCACGCTCACATGCCAGATGCAGCGGCGTCTGACCTGATGCGTCCCGAGAGTTGATCTGACTGGAAACAGAAAAAGGACGGGGCATGGATAAGTGACTCTTCCCCGTGGGGGTATAAAGTTTTTGCTGCTGTTGTACAAGTTTAACACATCCAATCTTACCTCTGTACATAGTTATGTTTGAGACAGTCTCTCAGGCCCGTCTCCACGGCGATGTGGGCAGCGCTCCAGTCCTGGTGGTTGCGGATGCAGTCCACAATTGGCTGTGTGGTCTCAGCCTTCAGAGGAAGTGTCTCGTAGAAGGGGCGAAGTTTGAGAGCATACTGCGCAAACCAGTTCATGGCGTCGCCCTCCGATGCCACCTGAAACAGCCTGGTTCAAACAGGACAGTGGATGCATGTTAAAGATAAGAATATTATAGATGAGTACAGTTGTATTTAAAAGTTTGTCCGAACCTGGAAATTGTATATTTGTTTTGGTTTTTTTAAGAGTAAATACAATCTTTGTAGCAAACAGACACTAGAAGTGAAACTTTCTCCAATTGTTAAATGTTTATACACAGCAAAGCGTGTTTCTACCCACAAATGTTCAAATCAGGGGATTATGAGGTTTGTACTTCATGGTTTACTTTGAGGTTTACGGTTCATTGACTTGTTTGTAGAAGCTTCTTTCTTTTCTGTTCCAGTTCTTTAAAACAGTTTCTTTTCTTGTGAACGTTTGTGAAATAAAAGTGAAAGTGCATTACCATTTGAAGAAAGGCTCATTGTTTATGTTTCCTGTGGGGCTTGAACTGATTTATTTTCACTTCAAAGAATCCAAATAAAATCTAATTTTCCTTTTGCATACAACTGTATTTCCCTCCACAAGAAAAGATGACTAAGAAAAGCCCAGAGCCTCAGAGTGCCTCATAATTTTGTATTTGATGTGGACATTTGGTAATAAGAATTTTTTGTTTCCTCCCACTAATATACATTTGTGAATTTTACATCACAAAACAGATATTTGTAGTTGCTGTGACACTGAGCTTTAGAAGTAGCTTTAACAGCTCTATGATGATTAGCACGAGTGTTTTAGCATGCTGTAAGCTTAATCCATTTATAATTTATAAAGTGAGGTCGACAGGAATCATAATGTTTGCATTAGAGGAGAACTTCACTCTGAGGCTTTACAGTTCAATTCATTCAAGATAAAGGCTCTGATTTAGTTCAGCTGCCTTGTTATGTAGGTCAATACTGGTCCAGCCTGAAGATGTTCTCGGCTGAAGGTTGGAATCATAGACTGTATATAAAGACAGACGAAAGGACAGCTCCCAAAAAGTGAAGCCAAACGGTCCACCTGGTGCGGGCAGTAGTATAGGTCATAAACCACAAATGTCCAAATGTCAAGACGGCTGAGACTCTTGATCGGTTCCAACAAAAGACACATCAGCACTCTGTGATAAGATCTCCACTCTCCCACTGTGTCATGCACTCAATACTGACCTCAGAACCACTGAAGGCGTCTCAGGGCACATAAGCAGGCAGTCCCATGACTGACAGTGGGTGTTTTTGTATAAGAAGATGCGCCCCTCCTCTTTCAGCAAGCATTTGCCTCCTCCACCATAGTCGGCCAGCGGCACTTCCCTGACCCGGTAGGGGTTGGTGAAGAGGGTCGACACAGAGGAGACTGTGTCCAACAGCCGGCCAAGGAACTGCATCGTCACCTGATAGAAAACACAGAGCTCTGTTGTTACCCCGGTTCCACCATGAGCCGGTTCTGAGCCAAGGCCAAATCACCAATCGGTTCTTGGTGTTTCAAATGCCAAGGAACTGACTCTCAACCGCTTTAATCAGGGGCGTGACTAACAAGACCATCAAGATAAGACCAACCGAAACATTGTGACCACCACTTTTAAACAACAGGGTTTGGGCAGGTTTCAACAAGTTACATTCAGGATTTTTAAAAGTCAACAGAAGTAGCATTAAATGATCATTAACAAAATTAAGAATGTTGAGTATTCTCTCTGAAACGTATAGAGTGACATTTACAGTAACATATCCACTGATGTATACAGTGGCTCTAGGCTGCGTAAGAGCCAACTAAAAGGTTCTTAACATGACCGCAAGTCAAACCAGCTCAGAAGCAGCTCCGGCACCAAATTCTCCTGCGTAGAAAGGTTTAAAGACACGACCTACGGGGAAGTCTGTCTGAACTCCATCGGGTAGAAAAAGATTTTTGGAAGCCCTCGTAGAAATAAGCAGCTCTGGCCTCTCTTGTCACATGTCTGCTCCACCGCAGCCGGAGGGTTTGTTGTCAACAGCAATGAATGATTTATTTTACCCGCAGGAGGAAATGATGTCACGACTCAGGAACAGCAACAGGTGCAATAACCCCTTGATATTTCCTCTAATGGCTGCTGACAGACCATAACGTGTGGTTAGATGAGTGGAACAAAGGGACTGCACCATCAGAGAATTTGCAGGTTGTAACTCTTGTTATTCTGTGGATGTGCCGGCATCTATTGCAGGCAATTAATGTTTTTTTTTTTTTCCTGTGGTTTTCATACATTTATATAAGTGCATCACCATTTACTTCGATTGTATTGGATTTGCATGCAACCCTTTTTACCCCTGAAACTGAAAGTGTCTTCTGAACTCAAACACTGAGGAGATAATGAGTGAATTTACATTTCTGGGTGAACTACCCCTCAAAGCCCAAACTGTGATTTGTGAATATGAGCTGTATGATTGTATGATTGATTGATTGATTGACGCTAATGACACCAGCTCATAATCAGCTGGGCCAACGCCACAACATTAGCAGATGATAGCAGCCCTCCCACTTCCTGTTCACTCTTACAGGACCTTTTAGTCACTATGGAAACCGTCTGGAAACGAGGCTGGTCCATTTAAAAGACGAACAAGTGTCGCCATTCACCCCTGCTCACGAGTTTCCACTAATCCAAGATCAATTTGAACCGGATCTAAAGGGGGCGACCCAGTGTCCGCTCCTGATCCCCGTGGGTTCGAATCTCTCATTTCTAACCAGACTAACACTCGGAGGAATTATCCGGAGCACGGGTCACGAGCGTGTCCGCTGCCGGGCTGAGCTCGTTCAAAGGTGTCAAAGTGTCTCTCGTGTCTCACCTGCTCGCTGTCTGTCCTCGTCTCTGAATGACTTCTGACAACAGAGTCAACAACCGCGTCACTGCAACCGAACGTGACGCCGGACCGATGACGGACGGGGCTCTGCTCCAATCGGAGATCGGGAACGGCGGCGCTGCCAGGCAACGTGGGGGCGGGGGGCGGGGCCCTCCGGCACAGAGGAGAGTTTTCTGGTTGAGCTCATTGTGAATTAGAGCCGAGCAATAAAACTGTGATAATGAAGGTTAAAGTGTAAGATTTAATCTGAAGAAATCATAATATAATGTTAGTACACAGTGAGGTTGTAGATCACATTGTTTATCTACCTCAAGACAATTCAATCACAAAAGAAAAATAAATAATAGAGACCCCGCTGCTCAAAACCTGTTCAGTCAAAGCTCAGTGAAGCTCGACTTGAACTGGAGAATCAAATGACGCCTGTTGATTTATTTATAGTTTATTGATAATATCACCTCTCCACGTTTAGTAGCAGAGAGGACGAGGGAGAAGCTCTGCTTGTTTTAAGTATCCTTTCCCCTTGTTTGTGGTTTAGGAGCTAGGTTCTATGTTTGTGTCATTTCTTTACCTTTTGTTGTTGCATGGTAGTTTAGGGCCTGTTAGATCATTCTTGTTTGCTGTTTTTGCTCCTCTCTGAAGTGAACAAACTGCTCATCTCTTTTTGTAACGTATGCTCTGTGGGGATGGGAAGATTGGGGAGCCACACCGCAGGTTATGTCAAAGTTTACTCTAGACCACGGAAAGAAACAGCCTCTGGTGGGGGGACCACTTGTGCTTTTAACATCATGGCTACGGTCCAGACACCGTGAGCTGTCTGTGGATCCCATTGGAAGATAAGATAAGATAATCCTTCGCTACTCCCACACTGGTCTGATTATAAGATAAGATAAGACCATATAAGATCAGATCTGTCTCCATGAGATAAGATAAGTTAAGATGAGATAAGTTAAGATGAGATAAGTTAAGATAAGATAAGATAAGTTAAGATGAGATAAGTTAAGATGAGATTAGATGAGATGAGATGAGATGAGATAAGTTAAGATAAGTTCAGTACATCAGATCAGTCTCCATGAGATAAGACAAGTTAAGATCAGATAAGTTAAGATCAGTTAAGATCAGATCAGATCAGATAAGTCAAGATGAGATAAGTTAAGATCAGATCAGATCAGATAAGTTAAGATCAGATAAGTTAAGATGAGATAAGTTAAGATCAGATCAGATCAGATAAGTTCAGATCAGATGAGTTAAGATCAGATAAGTTCAGATCAGATGAGTTAAGATCAGATAAGTTAAGATCAGATGAGTTAAGATGAGATAAGTTAAGATGAGATAAGTAAGATAAGTTAAGATAATTTAAGATCAGATAAGTTAAGATCAGATCAGATAAGTTAAGATCAGATAAGATCAGATAAGATCAGATAAGTTAAGATGAGATAAGTTAAGATCAGATCAGATCAGACAACTTATCTCATCTGATCTTAACTTATCTGATCTTAACTTATCTCATCTGATCTGATCTTAACTTGTCTTATCTCATGGAGACAGTCCTTATCTGAACTTAACTTAACTTATCTCATCTGATCTTAACTTATCTGATCTTAACTTATCTCATCTGATCTTAACTTATCTGATCTTAACTTATCTCATCTGATCTGATCTTAACTTGTCTTATCTCATGGAGACAGATCTGATCTGAACTTATCTTAACTTATCTCATCTGATCT